AAATAGACGCAGACGTACAGACACGCGGATAATGCACACGCACATACACGCTGATAACGCACACATACATAAGTATGTGTAGCGCTGTTATAGCGCATCGTAGCTATCTTGCAACGTGGTATCTGAGAAGATCGAGGGAGCTGATCAGACTGATCATATAAATTTTGTTTAAAAACAAAATAGGAAAAGAATGCTTGCTATTAGCTTAATGCGATGAAATAATAGCATTTGTCTCACTGAATTTTAGTCAGGATATAGCATGTCCCGGTTGTAATAACGAAGTGCGCGCCAAAATTTTCCATACTACTCTTTACTGTAAAATGATGAGGATAAGAAATATCAAAATATCAAAAATAAAGCTTGTGTGCGTGAATTCAGTATAACTGCAGTATAACGTTCTCACCACAATTGAAACCACGAACGACTCCTAAAAGTAGGAGGCAGAGTGTGGGAGGGCGCTAAAACGAGGTTTCGTGCAAAAGTGTGAGTGTGGTGTCCGTAATTGTCTGAAGGGATTCTTTCGGAAGATATCTTTACCGAAAGGCAATGCACGCTTTGGTAATGTTGAAGCCGAAACAGTGCGCGCACGTCGGTGGCTTAAGGAACTCCTTCAAAACCTCACTGAGGAGCAGATACTTGTGAGATTAAGCAAGAGAAATATAGTGGGTAGAACTAACAACACTTTCATAAACGCTAAAAATTTCAAACTTGAAAACCTACATTACAAGAATGGAAATAGAGATTTGTATCTACGCGCCAACATCAATTCCATGCAAAGAGTGACAATGGCAGACAGGTTATGAGTTGAAAGAAGTACCTGTACTAGTATTTGGTACGTACGGTAAATGCATATGTACTAATTGCGAGGATATTTGTGGGGAGAGCATCGAGGGTACATATGAAAGTCTGCACTCTTATGTGTTAGAATACATGTCAAAGATGACAAGCAGAAGTCTTTACTCAATAAGAGAATCAAGACAGCATGCGCAAAAATTGCCAGGTTGCTGATACGTGTACATAAACACCACTTCGCCAAAAATCAGTACAACGATCAGACATCAGTGCGTGAGCGTCTCTTACCAAATCAGCTGCCTAGGTTCCTTCTATACAAGACTGATGAGAATATACCAACTCCCGTTCAGCGCAAATCACACCACGAGCGTAATCTTATAGCTCCTATGAAGGCTGCATTAAGGGAAAAGCTCAAAAATTCTGGTATACATTTGTCAACGGAACAAATTAACACGATCAGTCTATTACTAAACACATACACAACTAAACAAACTACTCCTGATATAGCATTTAAAGCTACAGACGCCGCTATATTGCCTGACAGTACAATTAAGTGGATAGAGATATTGAAAAATGATCGTTTCTGCAAGGAACAAACTGGTCAACCCAATCTCAAACCGTTACGTGGACTTTTCGAATGGCTAAATAAAGACAATAGACTAGGCGACATGAGTATGTGGAACTAGAAAATGCGACAAAGGTGCATTCAGATTGGTACTCTTGAAGACTGTGCGCTGTTGGAAGACTGTAAGAAGACGATGCACCTATTAGTATCAGGGGAAAGAACCGCCCTAAACTGTCAACTTGGCATAGATTTATAATCTTCATATGTATATTCCGGAAATCACGTAACAACCTGGATAGTATCGGCTGCCATTTTGACGTTACTGGGGATACAGCAAAGTATGTGTACATAACATTTGCTATTGCACTAAGCTACATTTTCAAGTACCGACAGCCGTTCCCGATGTACGATAGAACAGACGGCCAAGTTCTGTCACGCCTCAGCGGACACACACGGCATTTCATTTGAATGAAGATGTAGGCATACTCATAGGAGATGTCACAGAGTGCCGAATGGTGAAGGCAGGGTGTGATGTTGATACCCAGAGTGTTTGTTACAGCGATTATAAATCTTTCCCAACCTTGAAATTCAACGTTATTTCTAATGGGGGTACATATATAGCTGATATCTTCGTTCCCCGGATCAGCTACCGACAATGGAATGTATAATTCTGAAGAGTATGGGCTGCGTATGATGAAGGGTAATGTTTCAACTAAGATTGTCTACATATATGACAAAGGTTTAACTGTTCGTTACGAATCGAAGAAACTCGGAATTTATGTTTGCACACTAAGGAAAAGGCAGAATGTACAGTATTCCTTCAGTGAAGAGAGATATCAGGCTGATCGTGTCATTGCCCGGGAGAGAATAACTATTGAACGCAACATGGAGGAATTGAGAAACTAAGCCGGATTCGAGGGTCAGAACAAAACTCTGTCAGAGATAAACATAGCAGACCATGAAGCGCAAGTAGCGTGAGGATTAGTAAATATGGATGCGCCTATAACAGATTGGTAGATGCCCAAGCAAGCACAACATGAGGACCCGACGGATTCGGATATAACTTTGGACGAAATGGATTCCGATGCTTCAATTGAGGAAGGTGGTAATATGGATGTAGTATATCCTATAGACAAATGTGTACAAATTATTTTGTTTTTATTATTAATAAACATGACAATATCTAAACTATTGAATCATGCAACCAGTCTAACACTTGGTCCATTTTGAGACCACGTACAGCCTTCTCCTCACTAAAACTCTCTAATTTTAATCGTCTGAATTCCATGTACAGTCGACGCTCTTCTTCATCCATGTCTACTTTCAGTGCTTTCATGTGTGTGAGTGAAGGGGATTTCATCTAGATCTATTGAAAGCACGTGTGAAGTCTTTACTCTGGTCGACGAACTCTTAGCCAGAGTTATAATGTTTTGATTTGAGTTAAACTTTCTAGACATAGGTCCTTTTGACCAGCTGCACTGGCCATCGGTCGATCCTGGATCACTAATCTCTCGTATGCTCTCTAGCACTGCCCTTATGTGAACACACTTAGAATGGTTATGGCAGGGGTTTACTTTCAACACCTTCGTCTCTCCTTCTCTTTCGTCAGTAGTGATACCTTTCTCCTTAGCTATAGGCAACAGGCAAGAAGCGTCCTCAATGCTGTCTAAAAACCACGCCCTCGTCGATTTGTCCTTATCAATTGTTGCTACACAAATAACATACATTTTGCCGTACCGGTAGCTCCTAGACAGTTCTCCTCGGATATACATCAGCATGCGGTGTTTTCTAGTAGGGTCATCAAGAAGTTTCACATAGCCAACCTCTAGATTGACAATTGAGCGATGCTCCTGCTCTTTTGTTTGTCGGCTTGTATATGACGCTTTCCCGAAGTATTTTTAATTGCTACATTACTAACAACTACTTTTTCAATCGCATCTTGATTATATGCTTTGAGTAGGATACCATCACATGTGTCACGTAAGTCTTTTCTACACTTTGTCTTGCGGCAAGTAAGGCGGTCGGAGCTTCCGGAATAGGCATTCTTTTTAGTACTGCACTTGCTGTATGCAAGTCAGTAGCAAGATATTCCACCATCAACGTTTTTGAACTGAATCGTTTAGGTATAACTATGCCTCTCTGCACAGCGTACTGGTGGAGTGCGGGACGTAACATCTTCGAGAACGGTGCGATGTCACTTTCTATAGATGTTGCCGTCCACTCAATAGGTGCCAGCCCTATACGTCAATAAAACAAATCGAATATCAAAAATTCACAGTCGGTAAACTTCTCTGATCATACCAGTCTAGTGTATAATGAGCAAAGAATATGTACTCCTCCATAACGCTATCTGCTACGCTCATCATTTCTCTCTGTGTCAGTTTCAGAATGCTATACAGTTTTTCTATCTCGTACCCACTGATAACTCATAAATCTTCACCATATATGTCGGTCAACCGAGCATCAGCATCTCCAGAGTGATTTACCCAGACAAATACCGGTTGACAGAAAAATAGAGACTCGGTCACGTTCAGCTCTCGGCGCAATTCATCGGCTTTCTCCGGTGCATTCCACTTATACATAAAGGCCGATTCAATAGTTAGCGGTCCGTCTATATTTGCTTGGTGTCACTCAAGCCAAGGACAGAAGGTGTGAACAGTCATACCCGTACGGACCCCGTAGTCACTCTGCAGAAACAATGCAGTCATAAATACCGTATTATCGAAGCCGTATTCTACAATTGCACAAAAGTACTGCATCTGGAACACCGTCATGAACTTTGTCTCTGATTCATCGTTTTGTATTCAGACTTCTCCAGCAGACTTAGTACTCGTGCTCTCTTGCAATCACGCCTATACAACACATCAGCGATGCCACTCCTCCTTCTGATGTCAAGTAGTATACGATTGCACCTTAGCAATATATAATCCGCATCATATGCTAATATATAATCAACATGTTATTGTATCTGCAATGCAAGCATGCTATTCGGCTTCCATTGGTGATACCATGTAATCAATGTCTTTGTCCATGCATAGAAGTATCATCATCTCAGCTACTTCTATGTTGAAGAATGCTACCGCATCCTTACAAGCTGTGTTCACATCTAGTCCCGGAGACTTTCTGTTGTTCTGAATAATTATACATATTATACAATAAGTATGGTAATAGCTACACATCAAATCAATGTTTCACTTACTGCACAAAATTATTTTTTTGTGAAAAGCGCATGCGCATGCACTTTAGATGCTCTTGTATTGGCGTCATAGCAATTTCTCTACTCTCAGC